ATAATTTATATTCATAATTTATACTCTGTATCATGATCATCAACTGAAATAATATAATTTATATTCATAATTTATACTCTGTATCATGATCATCAACTGAAATATTATAATTTATATTCATAATTTATACTCTGTATCATGATCATCAACTGAAATAATATAATTTATATTCATAATTTATACTCTGTATCATGATCATCAACTGAAATATTATAATTTATATTCATAATTTATACTCTGTATCATGATCATCAACTGAAATATTATAACTTATATTCATAATTTATACTCTGTATCATGATCATCAACTGAAATATTATAATTTATATTCATAATTTATACTCTGTATCATGATCATCAACTGAAATATTATAATTCATATTCATAATTTATACTCTGTATCATGATCATCAACTGAAATATTATAATTTATATTCATAATTTATACTCTGTATCATGATCATCAACTGAAATAATATAATTTATATTCATAATTTATACTCTGTATCATGATCATCAACTGAAATATTATAACTTATATTCATAATTTATACTCTGTATCATGATCATCAACTGAAATAATATAATTCATATTCATAATTTATACTCTGTATCATGATCATCAACTGAAATAATATAATTCATATTCATAATTTATACTCTGTATCATGATCATCAACTGAAATAATATAATTCATATTCATAATTTATACTCTGTATCATGATCATCAACTGAAATAATATAATTCATATTCATAATTTATACTCTGTATCATGATCATCAACTGAAATAATATAATTTATATTCATAATTTATACTCTGTATCATGATCATCAACTGAAATAATATAATTTATATTCATAATTTATACTCTGTATCATGATCATCAACTGAAATGATATAATTTATATTCATAATTTATACTCTGTATCATGATCATCAACTGAAATAATATAATTTATATTCATAATTTATACTCTGTATCATGATCATCAACTGAAATGATATAATTTATATTCATAATTTATACTCTGTATCATGATCATCAACTGAAATAATATAATTTATATTCATAATTTATATCCACGTCCAAAATTCTAGCTATAATATCTAAAAAATATAAAACTTACTCTTTTTATTCTTCTTATGTCTATCAATATGATCTTTAAGTTGAATTCGAACTTGTCGTTCTGTAGGTTGATCACGTATGAATGGATGTTTGAGTAATTGTTCAGTGTTGTGGCGTTGAGTATAATCTTTTATTAAACAAGATTCAACGAAATTGTGAAACTTACTCGACCTGCAAAATAACG